GGGAAGGGAAGGGAAGGAAGGAAGGAAGGAAGGAAGGAAGGAAGGAAGGAACCCTGTCTTGTGAACATCTTGGAGAATGCAGTGTTCCAAGTGACCCTTGGCCTAGCTATTGCCCTTTCTGGGCAATGCCACCCTGAGGGACTGCCACCGTGGAACTCAGTTAATGAAATCATCCTGTCCAAACCAGTTCAGACAGGGAGAAAACTCTTTGAAGTGACTCTGTGCCCCTTGCCCATAAAACTGAAGACATGCGTTTAACTCACAAGTAACAGGTTATGAACACTAAAAAACCCAGGGATACGCCAGTGAGCCCAGTCCAAGAAAATCCTCCAGATGACCCTTTTATTGGTTTTAAGGCAGCAAGGGATGTCTTCTGGCCCACATGCCTGTCTGGCCAAGCAAGGGAAAGGCAAGGAAAGGGAAAAGGATTTTTTGGCCGTTGGGAGTCAGCCAGAGCACACGTCCCTGCACTCCACCCGATTCGCGTTTTCCAGTCCTCCAATATCATCCTAATGCACTTGGGTTTGAGTATGCCCCAGGTCTGATGGTGTCTGCCAGGACCATCTTCCCGGCGCAAGGCCCTGCTCAACCCGCCTTCCCTTCTGCCAGGCTCTCCCAGGGGCAGATGACTTCCTTTTCTGTGGTCTGGTCACCAGACTCCCCTGCTCCGGGGTCATCTGCGTCCATCAGGCAGGGACCACTGTCCGTAGGCATTTCCATTTTGATCTGGAAAAAGCTTCAGACACAAAAGGGAAACAGTAAAGAAGCGGAAGGGCAGGGAATCACCCACGTGACCGCGGGACTCCCACGTGATCGCGGGATGGGAGGTGATCTCCAGGAGATCAAGGGACCTGATCCCAACAGTCCCAAGGACGAGCATGCCACAGACACTGACCCAGAGTGGCATGTGCAGCCATGGGTTCTGGGGACTTCTTTGACTGGGATTTATATTTTTCTGTTGAATCAAAGACAATCCCAAATATGCCTTATTTTGTTTTTTCAGTCTTTATGATTTTGATTAATTCAGCCTGCCGCTGTTGTGTTGACATACCAGCCTGTAATCTTCAATCCCTTTAAACCGTCCCTTGGGGAAATTGGAAAGGAAGCCTTTTCAAGGCCCCATGTCCACATATGAAGTAGCTGTGGAGCTAGAACATTCTCCCAGCAGGGCCGGCTGAGGAGAATCAACAAACTCATCCTGATCCTTTCCTAAAGCCACAGAGCCAAACTTCCTTCCTCCTTCTCCAAGCCACAGGCAAGAAGTGGGCAATAGCCCGTGTTCCTTGCTGTCCCCACACTCACTGCTCTGAAGAGATCACGCTCTGGGTCTCCATAGCAACCTAAGGCTCCTGCATAACATTTCTGTCTCTGGGCCCAGGCAGGGTCCAATGTAGGATTGTGTCTTCTGATTTGGGGGTGCCTCTGACTGTTCCGCCTCTCAGCTATGGATCCAGGCACTCCCAAACACTCCTCTAGGCTTCTGCTGTGCACACAGTGGCTGCCTCAGGGCATTCGGGGTTCTCAGATTTCAGACTTGGAAGTGATCTTAAACCCTTTAAGGAGGCTCTTTAGGAGGGCAGGCACGTGTCAGTGAGGACCAAGGAGGTCATGACCTCTAAGGTATGGGAAAGGGGTGGAGTCCCTGGGGAATCATGTCTTGGGGACACAATAGCCTGTGGTTAGTGGTGAAGTCCTTGTTAAATGCAGTGGATTGACTTGACTAGCAGTCTTGGGATGGGGCCGCTGTGTCAAGGAGAATGGATAGATAAAGAAAAAAGACTCCTTCCCTTTCCCATCTCTGGAAGAGGGAGAGATGATGGGACTGGGTTTTGGGGAACATTCGGTCACTTAGGGATATGATTAGGCTGCTTGTGACTGGTCCCCACAATCCTCATTTCAGCCCCATGTCTCCGTCATCACCATGAAGCCACACCCACACACCCACATCCACTGTCCACATGCACACAGCACCAGCCCCTCCAGCATCTTACTTGGCTACTTTCTTGGGTTTCAGCCTGGGCAGCTGTTGGCTCATGTCCCCCAGAGGCTGCACCTTCCCGTGTGACACAGAGGGGCACTTGGGTGAGAGCCTGGCAAAAACTGGTGATGCCAAACAGCCCCGTCTCAGAAACCTGCCAAAGGACAGAGCTGCACGGGCCTTGGGAGGGGCCCTGGGCTGGCCGTGTGGTCTCGAGTGGTCTACAGAGGTCTCACTGCTCTCGGTGACTGGGAGCCCAGAGTTGGCACCAGACCAGCTGGCTTCCCCCTTGGGCTCCAGCCCTGAAGAACCCTCCAAGGCCACTCGGATGGGCGAGGGGCAGACGGCGATGCTGGGCCGCCGGATGAAGCGACTCGGGGACGCGAAGGGCTTCCTGGGGGAGCGGCAGGATGGTGAGAAGGGGGTGGAGGGAGAGGGAGGCACGCAGGTCCCTGTATACACGGCCAGGTGAGGGCTGGGAGCCAAGTGCTGACCTGGCTGCGGGGAAGGAAAAAAGGAAGTTCAGTCAGGAGTCACGGCTCTAGCCACCAGGGCTAACAATCTCAACCAACTCGATCTCCCAGGCACCAAGGGTGATGGGCTAACCTCATCTAACTCGAGCTCCTTACAAGCTAATCTCAACTAACTCCATCTCCTTTCAGCCACTGGGGCTGATGGGCTATCCTCATCTAACTCAATCTCCTTCCAATGATGCCAGTCTATTCTGGACGCTCCCTGGAGGGATTGATTGAAAAGGTTACCCTGAGGTACCTGTGAGAGTGGCCCAGCCAGCCAGTCAAAGACCTCTTGCCAGGATCCATCTGCCACAAACTGACCTTCTTCCAGTCCTGGGATGTGGGAGTGTAATTATGCTAAACTCAATTATCCTTCAAATCAAATTTCTAGATGCCCTTTGTCCTTCCTACCCCAGGTCACCTCTTCACTTTTGACCATAGCTTTAGATCTGGAGCATTTGACACTATTTTGTTGTTGTTTGGTGTGTATGTGTGTAGGGGGTGGGGAGCTTTCTGGGAATTGAACTCATGACTTTGCCCATGCTAGGCAAGTGCTTTCCCAGGGAGCCATCCCCACCCAAAGATATTTAACTTCAACAGTTGAACTTTAACTGGTCAGTGCAAACGGGGAGACCTGCAACTGGTGCCCTGCTGAGCCTCCCTGCCTGAAACCACACCTACCTGTGTTCACCCTGGCAAAGTTTTAGGGGCTCCAATCCTAGCGCTTGCCCAGGTACCCCCTCAGACCGGGCAGGGGAAACTGAGGGGGGAAGGCTGTGTGTAGAACCTGAGTAGCCCACAGGAAGGAAGCAATTCTACAGATGGAGTTGATTCTGTGACTCAGCAGAGAAAAGGGAAGGATCTCACTGTCCCAGCCATCATGGCCAAAGTCCAGAGTGTTGGGGCAAAAGGGGAGGGGGTGACGTTTCCTCAGCTCAGGGAACCTGAAGGAGCTTTTTCCAAGTTGAGCAAGGAAAATAAAGCTCAGATTTTGCTTAGTCCTTCACTGTCGCCTCTTTCTTTGTAGGCCACAAAGGTCAGTTGGTGTGGGCTGCTGGGACCCTTCTAAAGTCATTTACCACATGAAAGCTAGGCATGGACAGAAGTTCTGAGGAGAGGTGGGTGGTGTCTTAGGGACAGCTGAACCACTACTGCATCCAAGAGAGGCCTATAAATGACTACAAAGTAACAGACCTTCTCTGCAACAACCACAGACGGCTTGCTCAGAGGGATCCACTCATCCCTCAGATCCTAAGACTGAAGGAGGCTGCCTGAGCCCTGGGCAGGAGGCTGCTGGCTTCAGAGTAAGGCCTGGTCTCACGGTCATTCACACAATCCAGCCCCAGCGTAAAGCTCACCTAGACAGCTGAGCAGAAGGAGTTCATCTGTTACACCACAATAGAAAATTAAGACAATGGCAAAACGTGCTTCAGAGCCTAGGTGTGTGACCCAAAAGCCCCTGATGTCCCTACATGTTGCCATCCTCTTGTCTGTGTGGTTTCTATGTCCTGGAAAGTGAACTAAGAGAGAGAGGAGAGAGGAAAGAGGGGGGAGTAAGGTACCTACTAAGTGCACTTGAACCTCTCTGCCTTGGAAGGTGCCACAAATTCCTGAGATCATCCCACCTCACAGATAAGAAGACGGGCTCCTGGAAGCAAAGGGACTTAACCGGGATTGTGTGGCTTGACTATTCCTTTCTCCTCCTCTTCCCTCTCTCTCCCTCCCCCATCTCCCCTCTTCCCTAGAACCTTCTCCTTTTCAGGATGAACGACAAGACAGGTTAAGGAAGTCGGCCACTGTCTTCCCTTCGTCACTTACCTGACCTGAGATGGTCTCTTCTGGGCAAATGGCCACTTTCCTGGTTGGTGCAGGACAGATATTTTTTTCTCCCCTAGCTCTTTCCCACAGGAAACCATGAGTTCCCACTCTGTTCCTTCCCATGGAGGCCTGAGCTTGCGCTCTGTAACCCAGCCTTCCAGTTCATGCGCCTTGTACGGATGATATGAGCAGCAAAGCAGTGGTGGGCGTGCAAGACAGGTGCAGAACGCAGAAACGCGACAGGACACAAAGTCAAACCTGGTTTAGAACTGGTGCGAGCAGCTTTTCTTTTTATTGTTGTGCATGGGGACAGAGAGATGGGTGGCAGGAGCATGAAATGAGGCGGCACATTAACGGGAAGAGACAACCACAGGGTTTTTAATGGAAGACAGAGCAGATGGTTCAGCGTCTCTACCCGTTCTTGTTCTGTCAGAATCTAGCTGAGAAGTCAAAGACCGGTGGCAGTGTTCAGCATGCAAGGACCCAGCCCCCCTTTAGCCTCTTCCTGTCGTCCCCTTCCCCTCTTCTCCAAGAGCAAGCAAAGCTGGTCCCATAAAAGACAACTTAGGTGACCACGTCACTTCTTTGGCTAGTCATTCCACTGAACACAGTCTAGCTCCAGACCATCCTAGCTGGGACCCACCCTTGCTTCAGCCACAGAACTTGGAGACGCAGGTCTGCTGGTCCCCACATTGTTACTAATGAGTCCTCTCTTAGAAGCTGTAATTAGAGGATGTAATACCTCAAACATAACCTAATGCTGTCTATAGAGCGCAGAGGACACTGAGGCAGCAGAGAGCTGACAGTTTGGAACGACAATGACTTACGGATGTCTCTGTTTATATGTAAACCAGAAAGAATAGCGGATCACTGACAGAAGAGAGCAGCGGCTCACCTCAAGGCCGTGAAGCATACAGGGAGTGTAATGATTGATAATGGTGGTAAGAGTAGTGGCTGGTGATCATGGTGATGACGGTGGTGGCGGTGCTGTTTCTGTTACAGTGGTGGTGGCGGTGGTGGGGGTAATGGTAATATTGATTCTGATGGTGAGGATGGTGGGAACGGTGGTGGAGAGTGATGGTAATGGGGATTGTTATGGTGGTAGTGACAGGGTGATGGTGATGATGATGACCATGATGGTGTGATAGTGATGACGATGGGAGTGGTACTGGGGATGGTGACTGGGATGGTGACAGTGACTGGGGTAGCAATGGTGAGAGGGGTGGCAATGATGATGGTGGTGGTGATAATAACAAGACGGTGATGGTGGTAGTAGTTGTGGTAATGATGTTGACATTAGTGATGGTAAGGGTGATAATTTTGATGGTGACAACATAGCATTTGTTGAGCATTTCTGATGTGCTAGCCATGATTCTAGGTACTTTACCCTTATTTTCCTGTCCCTGGCCCTTGCGTCTTTTACTTAATACCCATAACGAAAGCAATGCTTTCTATAAAAGTCAAACAGGAAAATAGAACTCTACAAAGGAAATGCTAGAACCTTAGAAAAGAATATAATCTAGCGTAGTTAGCCCCCATGGGCAGAGAAGCTTGTGATGTGGTTAAATTTTGCCATTAAGAAACTGAGAGGGTGTCTGAGAACATGACACAATAAATGCCATTGTAGTGATTTAAATACAGTAATAACATAATCTAAGTATGTGCTATGTGAGATTCAAATGGACTGCTGTTAGCTTTGCTCACAGTAACAACTTAGCAGGAGCCATCGCTCCCTTTGGAGCTGTGGCAGTAGCCACAGATGCTCTTTCAACACCTAAGAACTAGAAAGGAATATCCAGCCCCTTTGCTGCCGAGCCTGTGAATCTTCTTATAGATCTTGAGACAATTCTATCAGACTCAGACTCTGGCACTGGGGTGAGGCAGGAGTGAGAGAGGGGAAGAGCCGAAGCTTGGAGCTGAGGTACACTGAGGCCACACAGACATTTGAAGTCCTGGGAGCTGGGTGATCAATAGAGCCTTCCAGGAGGGGTAGTCCAGGTTACCCGCTGGTCCTAATCACACACACCACCTACCCTAGGAGCCCTCTAGTCACCTTAAAGTCTTTACTCTTCCACAGGCTACTAGATCCTACTATGTGCTCCCAAAGCATCTTGGGGCTTCCCTGTAATTCAACTGCCCGTGCTCTTGTCTTTCCTGTTAACTATAAGTAGGAAATAGGGGCCTCTCTCCTCTCTTCTCCTCACTCCTGTTCCACTCACCCCAGGCCTTGACTGCAGCACTTGTACAATGCTTGGCATGTAATGGAGACTGAAGAGTGCTGTGGAAGGCTGAGTGATTGTGACACAGAAGAAGACTGGTGCTGGAGTCCGACCCTCTTCTTACTTGTTTGTACTTTGTGTTTGTTGAGAAAGCGTCTCACTATGCATCTCTGGCTGTCCTGGAAGTCATACGTCGAGAAAGCTTGCCTCTGACTCATAGAAACCTGCATGCCTCTGCCTCTCGAGTGCCAGATTTAAAGGTGTGTACTACCGTGCCTGACCTAAGCCTGATCACACATCTTCTGAAAGCTACTCTCAAGCCAAACAATTCTCTCCCTACTCTGGCGTAAGTTTCAAACACAGTCAAATCCTTAATCACACTCTGGCTCATGGTACAGCCATTTGCACCCACATGTCTTCATCAACCCCCTGAGGATAAAGACCACTTTGCATATTTTTTATCCTCCATAATCTTCTACTGATCTTTATTTTTTTAAAAAAAAATGCAAAACTGCTCTTTGAGAGCTACTTGCGGTGGTACATACCCTTAGTCCTACACTTTGGAGACAGAAGCAGGCAGCACTCTGTGAGTTCAAGGCTGTTCCAGTCCAGCCAGAGCTATATATTAAGACCTTGTCTCAAAACTAAATTATATGTATATGTGTATGTATATGTATATATTCTAGCCTCTACTTGCATACATTCTCCCCCTCTTCCTCCTCCTCCTCTTCCTCTTCCTCCTCCTCCTCCTCCTCCTCCTCCTCCTCCTCTTCTTCCTCCTCCTCCTTCTCCTCCTCCTTCTCTTATTGTGGATTGTTAATTGCTGTCCTTGGTACCTACCCTTTGGATGATGTTCTCTCTATCTTCCTTCACTGACTAGAGGATGCTCACCTACTCCACCGCCCATGACTCTCACTGATCCTAGGACCTCCAGTGCTGAGTAGATTCCCATATATGTGGGAAAGAATCTGAAACAGCACACTGCTGTCTTTCAGAGAAAGACAGATCAGAGAAACACAAGCATGGAGAGTGGGGTGGCAGATGGAGAGACCAAAGATGAGCAGGATCTGGGCAGTGGTGCCCCGAGGAGTTCATGACAAACTCATTGGTTCCACCATGCTACTGGCGCCATCTCAGCTCATGTGGACTGATTAGAAGGGACAGCAAACATTCTCTGGCTTCATGCTTCTCCAACTTTCCCACTTAAGTAGGCCAAACAGCAGGAGAGCTGGGTAAACAAGCATCCCCCAGGAGTCTTAGGGGGGCAGCGCCTGAACCTGCATACCCAACCAAGCATGAAATGACTTTGATGTCTCCAACGTTAGCCTTAAAAATTCATGTGCATCTTGCATTCTATTTCATAATATATTTATGGTTGTTTTCATGTAAATTTTTAAAAATTACCTAAATTTCCTCCTACTATTTTAAATATTCAAGTAAAATTGGTATCCCAGTTTTGGAAGTGATCCTGAGACAGTCTCTCTTTCCACAAATGAGTAGGAAGCAGAGAGGCCCTGTGAGTTGCTCAGGGCTACAATGGTTTGTGTTAGAACTGGGGCCAGGGCCCAAGGGGCTTCCTCAGAATCCAGAGTTCTTTCCATCCATCCATCCATCCATCTATCCATCCATCCAGCCATCCATCCATCCAGCCAGCCAGCCAGCCATGTGACATTGTTAGGTCATTGTTAGGTCTTGGGCATTAGACTCCAAGAAGGAAGCTAGGTTTTTGTCCTTCTCCTCATACCACTCAGTTTATAACATGAAGCTTCTGCTGGGGAACTTCATTATAAATATCCAAAAGGATATTTTAAAAACACGTCTCTGGGTGCCATCTCAGAGTAACTTGTGAACTTTGGAAATGTTTGTTCTCCTCTTTGGGGCTGGGATTATCTTGCTAGCATGGAACCAATGACCAAAAACTACTTGTATTGGCTAAGACAGTCTTGAGTGACCTGGCCCCACCCACACCTCGTGGCTGGCCCCTCCCATCTCTCCCAGCCCCGCCCACCTCTCCTTGTACCATTTCTTCCTCCTTCACCAGACTCCATCCATTGGCCTTTCAGTTCACACTGAATCGTTTCCCACACCTGGGCTTTGGCCTTACAGTCCCTCTGTGTGTGGAATGTTCTCCTTGCTTGATCCACATCCTGTGACAATTCTTTCTCATCCTCTGCTCCTCTGTCACTGTTTCAAAAAGGCATAAGTCTACTTGGAACACAACTTCCTTATCATGGTATCATACCCATTCCCTTTGTAACCTATTCAACAGGTTTTATCCTGTTTTCAGTTAACACTTACTACAGTGAACCCATGGATACATTTCCTGTATCCATGTAGTATTCAATGAAACTCTGACATATTTTTTCTAAAAAAAAAAAATAGAGCCTATTTCTCTACTTCTTTTCCCCACTTAGATACAGGGTCTCTTATAGCCCAGGCTGGCCTCAAACTTATTATGCATGTAAGGTTGACCTTGAACTCATAATAGTGCTGTCTTCACCTCCCAATGTCTGGGATTACAGGTGTGCACTGCCATGTTTGGTTTTATGTGGTGCCAGGGATTGAACCCACGACTTTATGTGTGCAAGGCAAGCACTCTGCCCAGCCACCTACATCCCCAGCTCTGATTCCTCACTCTTTTAACCTAGGAGGCCTTTGCAACTTTCTCTGACCAAGAAAAGATGGATGAGACCATGGGAAGCCATAGGCATGCATCTCTATTTTGTCCCTTACAATTCTGCCACCACACTAAGACCACTCTAAGGCGAGGCAGGGCTGTTGGAGGATGAGGCACATGAAGCAGAACAGATATGTCCTGTTCCTGTCAGCTTCAGCTTCTGTAAGCCAACCTCCAGACATAGGGGAAAACCAAGCCAAGAACAACAGGGCCACAGAGATGACCCCATCCGTATGAGTAATAAATGTTCACTACGGTATGCTGCTCAAGTTTGTGGCCTATCGCTGTGCCAAGGCTACCTGATAGCTTAACTTCTTTTGTCAGACCTGGACCACAAGCTCTGTAAGAGCAGAACAGTGTTGCTTTTGTTCATCCGAGCCCCACACATAGTAGGTACTTAATACATGTGTGGGATGTGTGAACGTTCCTACTTTAGAAGACTGACCTCTTATACTGGTCTCATTTTCCTTTGCATAATTAGGGAGTATTTATCTTCAAAAATAACCTTGTAGGACTCAAAGTCAGGATTGAGCTGTCCTCTCCCCTGAGTGCCAAGATAGCATAGTCTATAGCTATAGAGAAAGGTAGTTCCAACATCTAGAAAATATTGCCAGAAGTATATCTGATATCCAACATCCTTCCCCCTGGTTGTAACCATCAGTGCCTTTCTTTCTTCTTTGACCAAAGAGATACCCTACACAGGACATTTTTCCTTGTCTCCTATAGCCTGAGTCTTTCATTCCTATAAGCTATTTATCCATACATTATGCCCAAGGGAATGGAAAAATAGAAAGAAAAGAAGTAACCATGGCTAAGAATGAGCTCACTAGGTAAGGATTCTCTCCCTAGGCAGATGTAGCATGGGAGATCAGGGAAGGGCCTTATAAGAGGCATGTGGAGAGATCCGCAAGTTGCTTCAGATGTGACATCTAAATTAGAGAGATGGATGGGGTGAGAAGTTTCACACAGCTACCCTAAATACACCACTCCTGGAAAAGTAGCCTCAGAGGGGGCAGGGTCAGCCTCTCTATAAGGTAGCACACAATGTCTTTTTTTCTATGCTTCTCACAGGCACTCCCTAAAGCAATGTGGGTGGGCACTGCCACTAACTTGGTGACCTGGAGTAGGAAAATAAAGCCAGGGAGCTCTTGATCTGGGAAGCCCCCTCTGAACCCTACACTTTGCTGACAAAGAATGAACCTTCTAAACGCTAATCCTTTTTGGGGGGAGGTGTAAGTGCGTCTCCTGAGTGCACAACTCCCACCCCCTGACCCCAGGAATCAGACATTCATTTAGGAGGCAGCTCCTTTTTGAGTAGGCTTCTGCGGTCCAGCTTGCTCATGACCTGGGTGATGTCCACGGTGTTGGCTGCTTCTCGAGCTTTCTCTTCTTCTTCCAGCTGCCGCAGAATGACAGGGCTCGGGCTGGAGCGTAGGTGACGCCTCATAAACGGGAGGGTGGAGCTACAAAGAGAGATAGGCGAGTGGTTGGTAGAAAACCATTTCGCTTGCCCAGTGACACCGACATGCCTACGGGAGGCTGGGCTAGAAAATGTCCCTTCATTTTCCCAGTGACTGTCCAAGATCTTCAGAAACATGGCCAGAGGGTGGGACCAGAGTAAATACAAACACCACCAGACTTCAGGTGAGGCACGAGGAAGACTCTTTGGATGGTGATAATGTTTACAGACACACCTTCTACCGTGATAAGTGATCAATTTGTTACATCATTGCAAAATCTTTAAGATCTCAATGTGATCTCTGAAAGATCCCCAAAGAAGAGGGTGTGGTGGGGTTGGGCGATAGGTGCCTGAGAGCTTGCATCTTGAGGACAAAGAAGGGTTCAGAGCACTTGTTTAAAAAGCCAAGCTCCAAGGGTGTAGAGATAGCAACCTTGACAGCATAAGGATCAGAGCTTGGTCCCCATATGAAAACAAACAAACAAACAAACAAACAAACAAACCCAGTGTGATCGTTATTGTTGTGTTTTATTAAAAAAAAAAAAAAAGATAAGAAGCCAGGGATGTGTTTGGTGAGGTATGGTATAGTGTGGGGGAGGGGGTGCCTCTGGGGGCCCATGCTGAGACATCCCTTCCCCCTGAGGGACCAGTCACATGATGGTACTGTATAGAATAGAGTGTGTTCAGGGTGTGGGGAGGGGAGTTGAGATAAAGGGAGAGGGAGAGGGAAAGGAGGAGAGAGAGAGAGAGAGAGAGAGAGAGAGAGAGAGAGAGAGAGAGAGACTGAGACTGTCCTTGAGCAAGTGGAGAGAGGGGGAAGAGAATAAGGGAGCAAGAACAAGAGAAGAGGGCAAGAGGGGAGGGGCAAGCAGCCCCTTTTGTAGTGAGTCAGACACATCTGGCTGTTGCCAGGTAACTGTGGGGTGGAGTTTAGAGAAGTAAAGAAAGCTGAGCTGTCCCACAGGGCTGGCTGTCCCACAGGGCTGGCTGTCCCACAGGGCTGGCTGTCCCACAGGGCTGGCTGTCCCACAGGGCTGGCTGTCCCACAGGGCTGGCTGGTGGAAGTGTCTTTAGAGGGTAAGTAGGTAATAGGCTGCAACCACCCTTCCCATTTGTCATATCTTGGGATGAATTAGAAACGTATTCCAAAGCCAACATGGATCCCTGTGATCAAACTGCCTGCCACATCCTAGGAACCAGTGTAAGGCGTCTTTAAGGGCGTAAGGCATGTTGCTGAGACAAGCAGCCTCAGGGGCCTACATAGGTTTGGGGAGCTGGCATTTCTGCAGCAACAACAGACTAAAGACCCAGGACCTACCCCCAATTTCTAGACTACTTGAGCCCCCAGACCTCTTGTCTCTACACCACGAAGGTAGGATGTTCATCCTAAGAAGACCTGGGCACCAGCTACCCTGTCAACTCTGCCAAAGGTCTGTGCCTTAACTTCTAATAGATTTCCTTATACTCGTGAGCCATGAAATGGATTCCCACCCCTGCATCCCCACCTGGACACAAGTCGAGGGTCACACTGTATGAATGTTCACACTGTTCCCACTCACAACAGGGATATCAATCTCGGACTGTGATGCCCAAAGTCAAATGCTCCAGCAGGGGTCCCTGACATCCCAGGCACTCAAGGGCCCAGTTGTACCCAAGAATGACCCTCTTTGAATTCCCATGCCTACCCCAACTTATAAACCATTAGGACAGAAGTGTGAGACAACCAAACCCCTACCCTGTCTCCAGCTCATTTCTGTCAGGATTTCTGGGTTATTGTGACTCTTTATTGGAGTTCAGAGTGCCACTAGACTTCCTTCCTTACTCTGTAACCCTAGAACAGTGCCTCAAGGTCGTCTTCCTCTCAATGGACTGTCACCCTCAAGGACAGGGTGGCGTATTCTCTCATAAGCTCCTTTGATAGTCTGGCTTACTCCCACCCCACCCCACCTCACCCATGCTCTGCATCTGAGTTGACTGGCCCCAGCATCGGTTGAACAAGCAGGAATATTAATTAACCACGGGGAGTGGGGGACAGGGAGGGGGCGGTAACACACAGCCTGCAAATGATTGTTTTGGGAGAAAAAAAAAAAAACCCTATGGCGGAGTTCCACAGCTTTGTTCAAGCTGTTATTCCTTACTCTTTAAATCTTTAAATAATCCTTATGTCCCCCAAAAAGAGTTCAATTTGCTCCTCAGAATATGGCATCATCCATTGTCCCTGTGTCTCAAAATGAGATGATAGAAATTTCCAACTAGTTAAGGGACTTCTAAGAAGTAGTCCCCAGAGGTACCAACACTCGGAGTATTACCGTTTGCTTCTCCTGCCTAGCATTTTCTCTCAGTGTGCAATCCCCCCTCCCTCTCTGATCTGGAAACAATAGAGATACAAGGGCGTGCCTTAATTAATTCTTATTCATCGGTTTGGTGGTTGAGAGGTGGGGTAATGACACAAAACAACAACACAAAAGAATCAGATGTTCCATTTGTGATACTCATAATTATCGGTCTGATAACCAGGGCCCTAGGACACAAAAAACTTAACTTGCCGGAGGCAATTACTGGGGGAATCTTCCTGGCGGGCATTTCTAAGCAAATGAGGCACTCATTCACTGCACAAGCCTTTCCAGCCCCCAACATTGTCATCAAGCAAATCGTTCCACTCTAGCCATTTTGTGGAAAGAGAGCCTCACATCTCTCAAGCAAACAGCAGGCAGCCAGCGATTAAAGACGTTCCACTTGCCTTCTCTTGGTGGTTTCCTGGGGCTCGATAGCTTTGGCCAGCATTTCTTTATAGATCGGAGATTTCAAATAGCGTGCGTAAGAATCCTGGTGGGAACAAGAGGAGAGCAGAGACAATGAGCCAGGAGCAGGGATGTGTTAGGCAGAGTACAATGTGCTGCCGTTTCTGAGCTCTTCCTGTGGTAGGACAGCCTAGTTAAGGGCATCTGTTTCCTTGAATGCCGGGTGTTCAGGGAGGTGTTGAGAGCAGTGGTTCTTAGGTATGGTACCCAAGACCAGACAATGTCAAATTATCCCAAAGAACTCCAATGCACATTCTCGGGACCACCCTGGTCCTATCCAATCATGAACCCGAAGGATGGGACAACCACCTGAGTCTTTAGGACCACAATTCATATCCATTCCCCAACACTAAAATCCTCCTCAGAGTTGTAAGCCTGTGTTGAGGCTAACAAGAGATAAGAAGACATCAACCTCCCACCTTTAATTGCCATGGAGACGAAGCCCACTTCTAAACCCATTCACACCCATCTCTGCCTGATGTTTGGGGTAAAAAAGGAAGATAATACCGTGCAAAATACTAAAAGGATCAGGGTTTAGGCTGTTCTTATGGGGGTGGGGGCGGTGCTTCCTAAGATCTGAGCAGGGTAAGGAGGTTGCTCCCCAGTTGTCTGGAACCTCCAAGGCAGATGGAAACTTCGCTCACAATTAACATGGGAAATGCCCACCACAGCAACCCAGCAACTGAGAAGAGTCCCAAGGATTTATTAAATCCTAGAGACTGGTCGGTGGTAATGACAATTAAGAGAAGTAAAATGGACTCTGGGCCTAGGGAGGAAGAAGCCGTTGAGTCCTGTGGCTTGTCACCACATGGCTCTAGAGCTGTAGAGTCCACTGCAGACATAGAACATTCTTTTCATGTGGTGCCTCGGCCTCATCCAGACTAGTCCACACGCGTAGCAGGAGGATGCACATCCATACTAAAGACCAAGAGCCAGGCGTCTGGATCTGTCAGAGCAGGAGCTGGCATCCTATCTCTGTGCTGAGACCTCAGGCAAGCCCCAGCTCTGGAGGAGCCTCCCTCAGGATCTTTTTGAGGACAAATGTCTTGCCTTAGGCAGAGCCTCTGCCCCATAAGTTTTCAACAGCTCTCTCAGCAATGAGCTTAATCTGTCTTACTGTCACTGATATTACCTGCAACATGCCTACAGCACAAGGAGCCCATAGATACAGTTTCTATTGGGATTTCTAAGGCCAGAGGGGCTGGGGGCGGGGTGGGGGTGGGGCTCAAGGAGGTCTAGGCTGGTGGGTAAGAGGAAGAAACAGCAGGCAATCCTGTCTCTTACTACCAGCAACAGAGTATCCACATGTATCCACGCCACCTACCCTTTCCCACATCTAAGGAGCTTTTCAGGTAACTGTGAAGGGGGCTCCCTGACCACTGGGCTTCCTCAGCGCAGGCCTGCTTACCTTCTTCATGAGCATGTAAATATGGGTCTGCGCCGCATCCAGCACGTAGCGGTGGGGGTGTCTCAGCCCCTTCACAGTGATGTCCATGGTTTTGCCGTCTATGTTGATCCACCGCCTCGCACCCGGGGCCAGAAACAGCCTGCAGAGGAAGGGAAACGTCCATCAAAGGAGATGACTGAGGTGCACAGGTACAAAGGATAAAGAGGCCCCAGATGGGCCCAGGCTGGTTAGAAGACGCTGAAGAGTTTAAACTTTGGAGAGATTGTCAACCGACTTTTCCCAGACACCAGAATAAGGCCATGGCAGATTTGAGAATGTAATCTTTAACCTTCATTTTTCTAGGAGAGCAAGTCAGAAGCTGGTGGGGTGGACTGAGGTGGGTGAGACCTTTGCAATCTAAGACAGAATTGGCTTCTAGGGAGACTGGAGAAATAGCTCAACAAAGCACTTACTGTTCTTGCAAAAGACCAAGAGCTCAATATCCAGAATCCAAATTGGGTGGCTCACAACTGCCTGTAACTCCAGCTCCAGGGTAATCCAGAACCCCCTTCTGTATCTTGAAGACACTGAGCATGAACACACACACACACACACTCTCATACACACACTCATACACACACATACAAATACAAATAAAATATTTTTAAAAATCCAGCTCCAGATTAACCTTCCGCCTTACCTCCATCCTTGAGCCAACCTGAAGCCAGGTACAGACACCTCTAAAATGGCATTCTGGAACCTCTGCTCTCTCATGGCCCAGGCTAGACAAGTATGATGATGACTCTTTAATGCTAATTAGAGAGGGTGGGCAGCCATGACCCCCAGCTCCCATAGTGTGACCATCTTAGGAACCAGGCCAGCAACTCCAAGACTGGCTGAGTTTCTAAGTCCTGTAGCTCTGTGAAGGGTTTGGCACAGGGGCATCTCCCAGGCTCTAGGTCAGAAAGACTCACACTGTTACTAGAGCAAGTAGGTGGAGGCTAGACTGAGAATGGAGAATCAGAGACCTGTTCACACTTGCATCCCAAACTGGGATCGCTATCTCACACACATGGAGATGTCTCTTCCCTTCACTGTCTCGTGTCTAAGATGGTCTGTGCAATATTCCTACATTCCCTCCCCCCACCCTCTCTCTCTCACACACACACATACACACACACACACATACACACACACACACATACACACACACACAAATTGCACTATGGTCCAGGGTGGCTTGCTCTCATAATCCCTGGACACAAACCAATGGGAATAGGAAAAATTCCGCCATCGACCTCAGTTGGCTACCTTCAAAGAAACCCTCAAACCTCCCAAACATCAAAGAGGCATTTATGGCAGGTCAGGTCCAGTGGCTGCTGCTGGCCAGAGCCCAGCCAGCCACCAGGGTGTGGGACCTCCCCCAACCCTGATTCCACCCCACACCCTCGAGGGAGACTTTCCTCCCCAAACCCTTATTCCACCTGGACTCAGACGGGTCTTACTTGTAGATCTCCTCTGCTTTCTCCTTGACCTTGGACTGATCGCCATACTTCAGATCCTCACAGGCTTCCCAGAATCCTAGGTTCTCCCCTGCATGAGGAAGACAGCCCAGGAAGATGAAAGCCGGTCAGGAAATGAGTGGAGAAGAGATAACGGCCGGGTGGGCTCCACTCACTTGTTGAGCATCTTCCTGCTCTCACTGAGCACCGGGACATCAAACCACTACATGTTGATTGAGAGAAGAGGCCGTGTCTCACTTCTGGGATGTGGGAGTTGTTGGGTCCCAGCAATGGTGTAGCTCATGAGTCTCCTCTGCCGTAAACTGGATTGGCTGCCCCCATGCTCAGAGTGATTACCCACTCATTATGTGGATGATATCCTACTCTGCCCCCCACTGATACACAGGGCACAGCTCCTCATAACCCATTCCTGAGAGCTACCGTGTTCTTTTTTCTAAATCGGTATTTGTTTGTTTATTGGTGGCCACGGGTGTGGAGGTTAAAGGTCAAATCATGGATCTGGTCATCTCCATCATGTGGGTGCCAGGGATTGAACTGAAGTCATCAGGCTGAGCTGCAAGCGCCTTTACCCGCTGAGTCATCCTACCAGCTCCCATATGCTTTCTGTTCGAGAACTTATCTATAGCAAACACTTCCTGAACAATTCACACAGGCTCATGATCGTGTACGACTCCACGATACCGCCTCCTACGCTCTGCTGTGTCTTGTGCCCATGTGACTTCTGGCTGCTTTAGTTGACTATGCATGGGGACCCCCACCTCCTGTACATCACCACTGGCATCGTCCAGCCCAAAAGTCCTTAGAATGTTTGAAAGTTGGCAGCAGATGCTTAGAAGATATCTGGCTACTTGGTGTCATGAGAACCAGAGGGATTTTGCTCCTCTAGACTGAGAGGGCAGAAAAAAAACAGACCCCCCAAAATCCTTAATCTCTTTCCAATTTCACATTCACTCCCCAGTGATTGGCTGAACCCAAAAAGCCTCAGGATGTGCTGGTACAAGTGTTCTAATAATTCCATGTATCAATTTTACCTGATAAAATAAAGATGGTGTCATCAGTAAGCAAGTAATGGTGTGCGTGTGTATCTGTGTGTGTGTATCTGTGTGTGTGTATCTGTGTGTGTGTATCTGTGTGTGTGTATGTGTGTGTATGTGTGTGTGTATCTGTGTGTGTGTATCTGTGTGTGTGTATCTGTGTGTGTGTATCTGTGTGTGTATCTGTGTGTGTGTGTTTGCTTGTCATACACACATTCTGAAGTGCTGTAGTGCCTAGACAAGAAGACCTTCTCCTCTGCTTCCACAGTACTTCCTGGAAGCCCCCAGTTATGTCAGCCTGGTAGAGGCTGCACAACTCTACAATAGCAAGAATTTGTCCCATAATTACTAAGGCAGATATTCTTTGTACAAAAATCACAGGCCAATGATTTTCTTTAGTAATCTATTGATCTGAGGTCCATACCCCTTGCTTATAGAAAGTTAATCACTTATAACTAAATTAAATGAGCAACTATTCATAAAAGCCAAAAGGTAAAAACAACTCAAAATGGCACAGAGGAGGAATCCTCGTGGTATACAGACACATCTGCCATGAAAGAATCTCTTAGCTTCAGCTACCAACTGGAAACAGCCCAGAGTTACCTGAGGGAATCTCAATTGGGGGTGGGAGGCTTGCCTCAATCAGATTGGCTCATGCTATATCTATGGGCCATTTTCTTGATTGATTATTGATAGAAAAGGGCTCAGTCCACTCTGGTGGGTCTGGACTGTACTAGGAATGTAACTAACATTAGCCTGGAAGCAAGCCAACCAGCAGTACCCTTCCGTGGTTTCTGCTTCAGCTCCAGCTTGAGGTCTTGCCTATACTTCCCTCAGGGATGGACTGTGATCTGGAAATAGGAATCAAATTAACCCTTTCCTTCCCAGGTTGTTTTTGATGATGGTTGCTTTTATCACAGCAACAGAAAGCAAGCTAGAACGTGGTGTTACATGAATGAACCTTGCAGACATTGTGATGGTTTAAATGAGAATGTCCCCCTCCCCATAGGATCATAGATTTGAATACTTGGTCATCAGGATGTGTTACTATTTGAAAAGATTAGGAAGTGTGGCCTTATTGGAGGAAGTGTGTCTGTGGGGGTAGGCTCTGAGATTTCAAAAAGTCCATTCCACACCCAGAGCCGCGCTCTTCCTGCTGACTGCAAATCCAGTGGCTGACTAAGCTCTTATCTGGGAGAACTCTCAGCCACTTCTCTAGTGCCATGTCTGGCTGCATGCCACCATGCTCCCCACCACGATGGTAATGGACTACACCTCTGTATGCCAGTGCCAATCAAATGCTTTCTTTCTTGAGGTGTTGTGGTATGGTTTCTCTTCACAGCAATAGCATGCTGAGTAGGACAGAGGTTATATTAAGTGAAGCAGGCCAGACACAAAGGGACTAATCCTATGATTACACTTGCATGAGGAACCTAGAGCCATCAAACTCAGAAAGTCATGTGGTGACATGGCAATCACTCGGGGTAGGAGGGAGGATGGGAGGTTAGTAGTTAAGTTTCAACTTGGGATGATGAAACATTCTGGAGATGTGGATACACTCATAGCTCGCTAAAAGTGCACTCAAATGGTTAAAATGACTAATTTTTGTGTTACATATTTTTTACTAAGTAAAAAAAAATTAAGGTGACCATGGGAGCCTGCCTGTAATCCTACCCTTTGGGAGTTAGATAGCTGGATAGCTAGATTAGCCAGATCAGTGCAACCTGGGTTCAACTGAGAGCCCCTGACTTGATGATTAAGACAGAGAGAGGCCAAAGAAGTCTCCTGGGGTCAATCTCTCAGGCTTCCACACTCAATGGCAGACATGTGTTCAAGCACCCACGTATACATGTATGCACACACAAGAGTATTTATACACATGCATTTTAAAACATTAAACACCTTAAAACACGCATAAGAATGTTCATTGCTATATTCATAAAACCCAAAGCCCAAACAACCCAAATTCAAGAGTCGGAGAGACAATTCCATGGGTAAGAGCATTTGTTGCTCTTTCAGAGGACTCAGGTTCAAGTCCCGACACCCACGTGGCGGCTCACAACCATCTATAATTTTAGTTCTAGAGGACCTGATCACCTCTTCTGGCCTCTGTGAGTACCAGGCACGTACACGGAGTTACATACATGCCTGCAGGCAAAATGCCCATGTACATAAGTTTAAAAAAAAACACCTCAAAACCCCATGAACTAAAGGGTGGGATGAATACAGGTGGTGTGCTCATACAATGGAACCTGATGCAGGCATAAAGGAGAGTACAGAAGACTAAGGAAAGTTCTCACACTGTACGGTCCCTGTTGTGGATAGCCCCGGCCTTGTATTTTGATACTAATTCCCGTTTCCTGTGAAGGGCTGCAGAGGAGGAGTGAGTCATTACACAGGTGAATTCTAGTGAACCTTCTGCCCATCTTAATTTGTAAAATAAAGGCTGGAGTCAGTGATTGGGCAGAAGAAGGGGAGGTGGAGAAATAAAGGTTGGTGGAAGAGAGCAGAGGGGAGGACTGGAGCAAGACAATGGAGGATGAAGACGATGAAGGAGAGGACAACTGGGAAGCAGGAGGTAGAAGGACAGATGCAGGGTCTGGGAAATCCTCAAGTTATAAGGGTCTCATAGCTGGAGATCAGAGTAGTGTAGGGGTGTCTGCCCAATCTAGGCTTACAGAATATATTAATAATTACTGAGTTGTGTTTTCATTGACCGGTCTTATTTGGGTTGGAGATTTAAATATAGCCCACTACAGGTCCCCATCACAAGAAGCATGCAGAATACCCAAATCCACAGGGACTGAGGGAGGGGAGTGGGCAGCATTCGGGAGTGAGGGAAGAATTGGAAATGACTTACAGTGGCTAAGGCATTTCTCCCTGAGCTGTCACAGAATTAGCTAGTGTTGGCAGTTGTACGGCTCAGTGAACATATAAAACAAAGCAAGGCAGCAAAGCCAGTGAACTGAGCCCAGGGTGGTAGGCAACACAATTCCAGCACTTCAGGGACTAAGGCAAGAGGAGCACATGTTTGAGGCCAGCCTGGGCTACCCAGAGAGCTGCTGTCTAAAAACCAAACAACAACAACAAAAGATCACTTGGAAGACAGAGGCAGGAGGATTTGGACATCAGGTTCATCCTCACAACACAGTGACTTTGAAGTCAGCCTGGGTTATGAGAAACTAAAATTTAAAGGTGTGTGTGTGTGTGTGTGTGTGTGTGTGTGTGTATCTCATATGGGTCATACCTAAATTTTAAAGTTTTTAATTAAATAAGAAAACCGATGGTTTATATTCCCTATTCATACATGAATCCGTCTGAATCTCCTCAGGAGACTGACTATAATATGGTTTCAGAGATGTCAGGAAATTTTTCTGGATGCTTTCTGTTATCAAGGAATGGATAATGAAGCTCAGCATGCTACTTTACTTACTGTCCACTAGATGGCACCATTTCTACTTAGTCACTGGGAGCTTAGCTTGTTTTTCTGAGGGTTATTACATCTATGCAATTAGGCTTGTTTAGAGAGAATGATTTACAGCAAGCCACGTTCTAATGCAATGCTCTGTCTCGGGCTGCCATCCAGACTAAAGCACATCCAGCATGATTTGCTTCAGGAGCAGGTCCCCAGACTAACTGCTTTAGGGTAATAAGCCTTGGAGTCTCAAACCCAATCATGAAGCTCCCCGGTGATGGGACTGGACAAACAAATAAATAAATCACATAAAAGCCAATTTGTCGGCAAAAGTGGTGAAGAAATTGAACGTGTAATTGGTTCTAATCTGGCCTTATTGTGTTCCCAGATATTTCTCAGTGGATGAGACACTCAGAGACAGACCGCCGCTAAAGTCCACATCCTCTGAAGGCTCAAAAGAAATCGGGACAAGAGGTTACACGTCAGTCACCTGGGGACCTTTCAAGATCACAGCAATTGCAACTCAACCCAATTAAAAAGGCATCCCTGGTCTGGGTTCAGGTGAACATGAGTTTAAACATATCTTCAGGGCTGGGAGATGGTTCAGTGGTTAAGAGCACTGACTCCTCTGCCAGAGGCCCTGGGTTCAATTCCCAGCACCCATATGGCTGCTCACAATCCTTTGTAACTCCAGTTCTGGGGAATATGATGCCCCTTCTGGCCTCGATGGGCACTGCATGCATATGGTATACAGACATACATACATGTTGGCAAAACGTGTGTGTGTGTGTGTGTGTGAAGTTAAAATAAATCTAGAAGATATGTATGGTTGGGTTGAAACTGCAGAACTCCTAAGCTAAAGGCAACAGGGCTTCCAAAGAAGCAGGGAGGCTATCTTGTTCAGCTTCCTGATCTCTGACGCTGTACTTAGGTGAAGGTAGAAGGTCAGAGGTCAGGGAAGTGGATTAGAAGAACGCTGGGCAGTGAAAGGAGGAGAACCAAGAAAGGATGGAGCCCTGGGAACTGTGAGTGAGGCGAAGGAGGTTATAGAGATGTAATGTTCCTCTGTGCCCCACCCCCACCCCGGAATGCAGTGACTTTCTGAGCCTATGGAAAAGGAAGGTCCTGGACCCAGGTTGGACTCTTACTCCTGGAAAAGCAAGAGACCCTGTTTAAAAGCCTTAACAAGGTATGGAAGCACCCACTGCAAAACTCCTAACAGCCTAGGCTAGCTATTAAAGGGAGTGTAGCTTAAAAAAAGAAAAAGACTCATGCTGGAGAGGCTGCTTAGTCCCTAGAGTGTTTGGCAAGCACCCACCAAGCCATGAGTTCGATCCTCAGAATCCCATAACACCAAGTGGAGTGTCTCATGCCTGTAGTCCGAGCACTTGGGATGTAAAGTCAAAAGAATCAAGAGTTAAAGATCATCTTCAGCTACACAGAGAGTTCAGAGTTGGCCTGGGCTACATGTAATCCTGTCTCAGTAAGGAGGGAAGGGGAAAGAGAGAAGAAGATGAGGGGAGGAAAGGAGGGAGGGAGGGAGAGGGAGGGAGGAAAAGAGAACTCACCACTGAATTCCTTCTTGAGAAAGTACTGGAAGCTCTGCCGACCTTTGGGGTCTCGAATCAGTTCGCTGAAGTTGAAGGCCCATCGCTCCACTCGCATCTTGGTTGGGATCTCCACCCTGCAAGAATGATGACTGGTAAATGCAGCACTCCTTGGGAGAGGGGCTGTACTCGGCACTGGCCTAGGTGGGAGTGATAAGTCTACCAACCTTCATGATAGGCACAAGCCTCTACCAACCTTCATGAGGTCCTTGGCCAATGTCTCCACCTAGCTTTGCCACCTATCCTCTGCATAGACATACAATCTAAGTTATCACTTACTAGGAAGACACAGCCTCCAAGTCCCCTGGGGTTCACACCAGAGATGTGGCTGAGGGAGAGTCGCAACGCTGTGGATCCCTGTCACAAAAACTTTCAGGGGAAAAGATCTCAGTCCTAAAACAATCTGTGAAGGGCCAGGCTGCCACCTTCAAGCCAGGTTAGAATTCCAGTGACATATTGGTCCCTGGATGCTATGATCACAGCTACCTGTCACTCACCAAGACTTCCCCTTCACCCTGAACGTACATGGATGTTTGTGACAGTATTGGTCATGATAGTTACCACTTGGGGAAGCCCAAAGGTCCTTCCGCAGACAGACGAGTGTGTGTGAAGCATATTCACATGGGGAGCTTGGTTTATACATAACTGAGACAAAATGCAAACGCCTGCTACAAGGTGGATAAACTCTGAAAGTTTAGCAGGAAGTGAAGGATGCCCAATCCTATACCACACATCCTATGATGTCATCTACAGGAAACTTCTAGAATAGGAGAATATGGATAATCAGAAAATAAACTGACTAGTGATCATCTAGGGGGAGCTTAGGGAATGGAGATTTGGGGGCACCAATAGCTAAAAGTGCAGATTTATTTTTAAAACATTGTGGTAGAGATTACATTCCTCCATCAATATAACAAATATTTAATTGTACACTTTAAATGGGTAAGTTGTATGACATATGAATTACAACTCAAGGGAAAAAACCCTCAAACTTGAGATAGGGTCTCATGTATACCAGGCTGGCTTTGAACCTGCTATGTAGCTCGGGAACCTTGAATGTCTGATCCTCTTGCCTCACAGGTGCTGGGGTTACAGGTGTGCACCATTATATTGTCTTGGGGGTCAAATCTGGGGCTTCACAAATCTAGGCACTCTACCAACTGAACCATAGACCACCCTAAAATAAAGCACATTTGGGGCTGGGGAGATGACCCCGTGGATAAAGTGTTTGCCATGTAAGTGTGAAGACCACTTTGGGTCTCCAGAACCCATGTAAAAACCTAGCAAGTGTAGTAGCCACCTGTAATCTCCTCCCTCAGGGATTAAAGCTAGCTAGCTAGATAAACCCAACTGGAGAGCTATGGGTTCAGTGAGAGCCCATGACTCAAAAAATAAAGTGTAGATGGAGGAAGGAAGATACCTGATATCAGCTGGAGGCCTCCATACACATGAACACATGTACCCACATGCATGACTCACTCATACACACATGCAAACACACTCACCAAAAAAAAAAAAA